GTCGCCATGGGTAAGACAAGATTAGATGTGGGTGCTCCAGGTCTCCTCAAAACACAGCCCAAATCAATTCTATGAGTGAAATATAATTCGCTTTGATTCAGCCTAAGTTTTCTATTACGTAATGGACAATTAAATGGTGTCAAAGAGGAAAAAAACTTTTTACCCAAATCAGTTCAGCCTCATTACCTTGTAAGTGCAAATGAACGATAAGTACCTTATGAACACTTGAATCGACTTGAGTTTTCCTTGGCTGCTGGTGTGTTTTCTGCTTTTTGGCTGGTAAGTTGGACTGGTTGGAACTTGGGCTGGGTTCAGCGGCAGACACAAACTTCGATGACCACTCAACATCTTTTTGATGAGAACCTCTTCGCTATCTGTAACCAAGGACACAAAAAGGGTTAGTTCACGCAGCAATAAATGTAAAAACTTAATGACCACACAAAATGTGCTTAAAATTGAAATTTTTGGTGTGATGTGTGAGGAACTCATGCAAAAATTACTGAACAGAATCTTCATGTGTTGAGCGAACCGTTACCAATGGAAAGGTTGTAAGACTTACCATCCACAGCTACAATCTCTGCTTGTATCTTCTTGCCTTCCCAGTTGACTGTCACTGGGCACCCTTTTATATACAGCTCATTAAATAAACAGATTTTGCATTAATAAAGTTAATTACTGTAAGGAACGCCCACTGGGACTTGAGTTGAGATTTTTTCCATCATTGATCTTTTGACTCACAAGCTTTAGAAGGTTTTTTTTGTTTCTTTGGTGGAATTTTGATATACCACGGACTTGCTTTAGGCCGCTGCTTTCTGTCGTGCGCTTAAAATAAAGATAATCACTGTATTCTACGGACTATTCTGTAAACAGTGATATAAATTTTATTCAGATATGTCCAGTAGAACCCGAGTTAAGCAGTTTTCCACTTTGAACCTTTAGTGAATAGGCAGCAGGTTGTTGTCTCGAAACTGCTCTTGAAGTACCGCGAGTTTTCAATTATTGTTTGGTCCGTTAAAAGAGAGATGCTTATGATCAAAATAAAGCACAGAGCTCCACTATGACACAAGCGCTTTGGTCAAATTTATGAATTAGTTAATTAGTGTAAGGTACGCCTACTGGGACTCCAGGCCAGAAGTTCATTAGTATATGTTCAGTTGAACTTGAGTGTTAAGCATTCTTGTTTCGCGTGACCTTGTGCCAGATGGCTCTCAAATGATTATCACAACAACTGAATAGCTTTCCAATCACTGAGATTTTTTGATAGTTGTTAAGCCCGCTAAATTATTGGTCATCATGCAGAAAAGTAGACGAACTGGCATTACGAAACAATAGCTTTTATTAAAAACTCCTCCTACATAAAGCGAAGCACGCGTCTACATTTAAGTAATTACTTTTTTCTCCCCTACGAATGCATAATATCCATGACAACAAATGATGCTTTTGCTCGCGTGCATTTTACGAAAGTGACAAACTATGGAAGACGTTGATATTATAGAAAGAGAAGAAACTCCGAACGAAATAATCGAAAGAGTGAAAAAATTCCTCCTCAATGGCTGTGGTTGTTTGCGTGGTTCCAAAGGAGGTCCCCGCTCCAGAGAATTTAAAGAAGAAGTGGTGTTATTTAATCTGAATATCTGTCTCGAGTTGACAAGTGGAGAGCTCGACTTGATAATTTTAGCAAACATTCAAGCCTTCAGCGGCAACAACTGCATTGGAACGAAAAGAAGCAGAAGTTCCAGGTGTACCTACCAGTTTCAGTCCGTCTCCATCTGCAAAGAAATGTTCATTCACCTTAATGGTATCGGTTATAACCGACTTTGTCGTCTCAAGGAGCATTATGAGAGATATGGTATCCATCCGCGAACTCACGGCAACACCAAAACACTTCCCAGTAACACCCTTCCACAGTCAAACACAGAGAATGTTCATCGTTTCCTTACCAATTACATTGAGGAGAATGCATTTGTGCTACCAGGGAGAATACCAGGATTCAAGCAGGAAGATGTTCAGGTGCTGTCTCCGAGCGAGACAAAAACGAGTGTTTGGCACGTCTACACTGCCACTTGCAAAGCTTCTGGAGAACAAGCAGTTAGTTACAGCAAGTTCATAGATCTTTGGCATCAGTTTTGTCTGAAAGTTGTTTGGCGAAACCCATGACCGATCTATGCTTGACATGTCAACAGAACACCACCAAGCTTGTACGGGCCACAAACCTTCCTGAGCACGAAAAGGCTGACTGTATTAAAGCACAGCAAGAGCATTTGGACTGTGCCCAGGTCAAAAGAGAGTTTTACAGGAAAACTTGCTCAGATGTAGCCATGACTTTCAGTCAAACAGATGCGGAGACAAATCTAAACGAAACGCAAGAGCCGTGTTCATTCAATGGCACAATGCACTACTCCTTTGACTATGCACAACAAGTGCACTTTCTAAGTAACCCAATGCAACCAGGACCGATCTGTTTTAAGACCCCAAGAAAGTGTGGGATTTTTGGAGTTATGTGTGAAGCTGTACCGCGTCAAGTGAACTATTTGATTGATGAGGCTGGTGCAGTCGGTAAAGGAGCCAACGCAACCATTAGTTACGTTCACCACTTTTTCACTCGTCATGGCCTTGGGAAAACAGACATTCACTTACATGCTGACAATTGTGCCGGACAAAATAAAAACAATTACTTTTTGTGGTATTTAGCATGGAGGATTGCCACTGAACTTCACCAGTCTATCAAGTACTCTTTCCTAATTGCTGGACATACTAAATTTGGTCCAGATCGTTGCTTCGGAATCCTGAAAAAGGCCCACAAGGTCAGTTTCATTTCGTCAATTTATGAACTTGCTCGAATGGTGGACACCTCAAGCAACACAGGAGTGAACAAAGCCCAACTGGTAACGACGCACAATGGCCATGTTATAGTTCCTGCATACGACTGGTGTACTTTTCTGGGACAATATTTCAAAAAAATTGTGAACATAAAAAATTTCACCATTTCAGATTTTCCAAGGATGAACCAGGTGTTGTTTACTGCCGAGAATATTTGACATCCCCGGAACAAGCGTGTGCCTTACTGAAGGATGGTGCTGTGATCCCACCTGCTTCTGTTCTTCCGCAGAAGATCAACCCAGAAGGATTAAGTGACAAACAGAGAAACTACTTACATCACGAAATAAGACAGTTTTCCAAGCCTGGAACTGAAGATTTAGTTGCACCACTTCCATAAGTTGATCATTGTTTCGAACTTGACCAGTGCTATGCTATGTGACAAATTGGCTTTAGTATTTACTTTTCTTTCTATTACATTCAAACCTAAGCTGTAAGAGAATTAAATGATGCTTACGTAGGTAGTTATTGTACATACACCATCGTTTACTAATGAAATAAATAAAGTTGTATACTGAAATTATTTTGGAATATTATTTTCCATGTGGTCCTTCTTTCAACAGTTCTATTCTTGTCCTCAAGTACGGCTAGCTGCTCAATTGACGAAAATAAGCCGGGTAGGAAACAGAGCGAATTCGAACAGATTTTCAATCCAGCTTAAGCGGTAATCGATCAGTCAAACTCACAACAAATTTTACGTGTTCGGTTTCTGAACTCTCAATTGATTGGTAAAATAACAAAGCCTCTGATGCAAAACAAAGACTGTTTTTCTTTAATAAGGAAACAGAAGAAGCAATAGATAATAATTATACAATAATGAAAGTTTTAATTGATTGAGCGCAGAGTTTAAATTCAATGGTGAAGGTTTTTACCTGGTTTTCGCGTTTTGTTTTTGTTTCCCAAAGAAGGTCACAAAGGTCGTCACTGTTTTCGAAGTGTTCCATCCCTTCCAAATCAAGCTCTCCATTCCATAAAATTATTAGCCAGAACAGATTGAGGTCGTTGTAAAAGACTGTTATCGAGTGAGTGTTTCGTCAGTGAGCGGTAATCAAAATAACAATACGGGGCAGGCAAGGAAGTGACATCACAATCAAATGAGCACGCACACGCTATTTTTATCTTCTTCCTGCCGTTCGACTGTGTGATCTGGTTGGTTACAAAACAGGTAAGAATAAACATCTCCTGAAAGATTATAACCCTTCACAATCCCACCAAGCGATGACCTAAATTTCTGAGCTAAATAAATTGTCTATGACGAATGATTTAAAACTATGACATGGGAACCAAGACAGTGTTATCTCAGGATAAAGTGCACTGTTCTGAACAAGATTGATGGCAGAATCACGGTCGGAATGAATGGCTTCATTGGCTCTCGATGCTATACGTTTGTACGCACGGATATTTTTTTTTTGTCGTATGTCCAAGGATACGACGATTACTCGCCTTCTATAAACACGGATCAGTTGGAACTAAAATAAAATACCGTTGTCCTGCAGTTTACGTTCCGCGAGTATTGAGCGATCATTAGTTTGATAGTTCTGCTCGCAGAGCTAACTTAAACAGCTGCTGGCTTTCTTTTTAAATGGATAAGCAAACCATTTAAATGTTTTCCCTAGAGCATCAAACGGATAAGCAAACCGTTGAAACGTTTTCGCTAAAGCGTTAAACGGATGCAAATTTTTTTAAATGGATAAGCAAACCGTTGAAATGTTTTCGCTAAAGCGTTAAACGGATGCAAATTTTTTTAAACGGATAAGCAAACCGTTTAAACGTTTCCATTTAAGTGTTAAATGGATGCAACTTTTTTTGAACGGATAAGCAAACCATTTAAACGCTTGCATGAACCGTTTAAACGGGTATAAACGGATTGTAAATGGTTTTGCCATATAAACAGAAAAGCGTTAGTGTCTGTTTTCCCAAAGAAGGTCACAAATCTTTTCAAGAACTCGTACTCAAGGCTTTTAAGAATTGTAAACGCAGTGGTTGCATCGATCACCAGCAGGTTAGATCGATTGACCAAGATTTATTTTTCTTCAAACTAAAGCTACTTATTTTTAGGCGATGATGACAACTGTGAATGAAGTCAACAACAATAAAACAAAGGTACCGGATAAATTTAATTTTTGTAGTGTTTCCCTTGTTTGTTTTACTGCCGAACTCGATGAGTAAATTGATTGACAATCAATGTACATGTAAGATTATTATTAAAACTACGGCTACATACGTGTATGAACATGAACATTGCATCTGTGTTTTTATGTTTTAGTCCATTATTTTGTAGTCCTTGATATTCACCTCTGAAAATTATGCTAAGACAATTATTCGCCCCAGGCTCAGTGAACATTGGTGAATATTCAACTTGACTTCGTCTCGATGAATATTCACCAATGTTCACTTCGCCTTTGGCAAATAATTGTTATATATTAACTACCTGTATCAAATAAGCAATACATTTCTGGCAAATGTTCTTTGTCAGCATGGCTAGCAGTGGTGAAATGATCTAAAGTTCATTACTTTACCGGAAGCTACCTTAAAGAATCAGAGCTCTGCTATGGTTTATTTTACTTTCGTGTTGTACATGTCTATAGGTACAAAACCCCAAAATAAAAGATCACCAAGGTACATAAAAACAAACACGATTCCTTGCTGGATACAAGATGATTATAAAAAACTCGGTGCTACACACCTCATTTGTTATTGACTGTCTCATATCCAACATGGGCTCATGGAATTATAATTGTAAAATAGCACTACCATGTTGATATTATAATGACACTGCAGCATACCCTGATTCATGTACTACATCAAGACCCATGGAGCATGTATATCATCCAAGTTCATAACAGATTATTATGCCTTAAACCCACCTGTCATGAGGGTTAATGAGTGAAATAAGAAATCTGAATAGCTCTCGAATACAAGGTAATCCATAGGGAACCAAAGGACCAGCACCTACAAGGAAACACATCAGAGAAGTTAACATTACATGACCATCATGCATGGTTCCAGGAAATATTATATATTAGCTTTCAAAAAACGTTATACAACATCTACGTTGTAAAATTTGTAAATTGAGAGGAGCAATCCTGAATGAATGCCCACACAAATGCATTTGACTTGTAACCGGCAAAGTTTTGGGAATTCTGGAATTTCTGCAAAACCGTGTCTCTGAGTAATATTTCACTTAAACTGGTTGTCAAATTGAGAAGAATCTACTATTTAACATCTAGTGCATGTAAATTGTTCTAGTAAACTAAGGGCAGTTTATGAGGTTTTTCGTGGTACCTTCCTTCACAGGTTCTTGTGGTGTGAATCGCACTCCACGAGGGTTAACATAGTCATCCTGTTGCAAGCTTGACTCTGGTTGGCTTCCCTCAGTTACTTCTGACAAGTCTTCTGATTCAACAGTTTCCAGAGAGGCAGTGCTTCCCATTCGTTCTTTACTATCATCATCTTCTGTCATAAGAGTGCTAGCAATACTGTCTTGAGCACCCTAATCAATGATTAGAAAATAAGAATCATTATTATTTCGTACCAGTAAATTCAAAGAGAAATTTACCCATGATCTTAGGAACTACAGAACAATACAACTGCTCAGGAAACATTTTCTTAAAACATAAGCAGGCGAATATTAATGTTACAAGCTGACATTTTGGCGTCATTGTGACACCATTCTCAAGGCAAAGTGAATAAATAATGCGAAGATTTGATTTATAAATCGTCGTCAATTTGTAAACAGTATTTGAGCAAACATAACTCGAATGTACCTCCTTGTCTTTCAGAACAATTTCACATGCTTACTAAATGTTCTAACAAATTTCATTGCCTAATTAAGGAGATGCTTTTTATAAGAAAACTTAAACCATCCCTAACTGTGCAAACAGACTTGATTCGCGCAAAGGTATTCACTTGAAGAACTTGTAATCCTTTGTTATTATGCTAATTCGTAGAGACTGTATATAAATCAAATCTTCGCATTATTTATTCACTTTGCCTTGAGAATGGTGTCATGATGATGCCAAAACGTCAGCTTTTAACGTTAATATTCACCTGCTTGTGGTTTAAGAAATCGTTATTGATCAAGAAACATTTTGCACATAATAAGCAGGCTGGCATCAGCTTGTCTATCGTGACTATCCTACAACTGTGAAACACGCCAAATGTCAACAATTTTCACATATTTAAGAGCTAAACCAGCTTTAGTCAGCAGGACTACATGTGAAATATCTTTGAAAACAAAGCATCTGGGCTGCTCTTACTAGTTCCATGGATGGGGCATCACATACACCCTCCCTTTCATCCTCAGACATAACCATGCCTTCCACACTCAAGTTGTCTCCTTCAACCTCACTGGTCATCAGCTGTGATGCAACTGATGGCTCTTCCTCAGTGGGTGACTCAGTCGTATTGGTACACTCTTCAGCAGGCTTGTCCAAGACCCCATCAGCAATAGACTCTTCTGGCAACACTTTTTGCCTTTCTGTGGCCTCTTCAAGGAATTCTTCAATTTCTATAGCATTGGTATCTTCTTCAGGGACCTCTACTTCCTTCAAATGTTCCTCAGTTTTGCTGACCCCTGTCAGTGATTCAGAAGATGTTGCTGTTGTAGTTGGTGTCATTGCTGCCCCTGCTTCTGCTGTTGTTGTTAGAGGTATCTCTTCTTGGTGGGCTCTTCTAGGTTTGGGTGACATGTGCTTTTTCCGTTTTCCAGTAGCAATAGCTCCTGCTCGTTTGAATACCTAAAGGCCAAAAAATAACCAAGCTACTGAAGAGAACTTGAACATCATCACTGCAGTGTAGCAGTACATCGCTTTGCTAATAACAATTGTGCAAGAAGCTATGTTTCACTAAAGGTGCGTCAAGACTTAATCTACATTCGGAGTCTCAAGTAACCCTTGCCAATGAACATGTATGTCAACTATCAACATAGTTGATCAATATCCTGCACATCCTCATGCACCTCAACCCCATTCTGTTCTGATTAGGCAAAGTGTCTTTTATTACTGTTGAAGTTCTTAAGAGCTAGGTGTATTGGGATCATACAAAAATAATGTAAGTTCAAGAAGAAACATATTGTAGTGGAAATGTGAATTTCAAGCAGTGCACCATTGAACCTCAACGGGTATCTTCTTTAATACCCACCCACCAGCATGCCTCCCAGAAGAGGTCCAACAATAAATTATGCATATTTATTCAGTCCTAACTTAATATTTCGAACTTTTTGAACTTACCTTTCTTATATTAGGCACTATTCCTGACTTCAACTCTTCTTTAAATTGAGGGAGTCTATTAAGCAAAACAAGAGAGGCAAGGACTTGTTGTTTACTAATACCTTGGACTTATTTATTAATATTTAAATCATTTATTTTAATTTGATAGAGATTTTAGACACTAAGAGCAAAAAGCTTGAATTCCAAAATACTTCAAAATTATAAATATAATTACTGAGAACATCTTTTTATTCATCTTTTCAGTAATGATAAAGTATTTTTAATAACCATTCAAACACTTTGTACTCAGGGTCCATATCTCTATCAGAAGTTGTAAAAATTTTCTTATGCTCAGGGTTTTTAAAATAAAACCGTTAGCAACTCCCTTCAAGAATGTTTAACTTTCTGACCTTGAAAACAAAAGCTGCACCATGTCCATCAAGGTTTGTTCTGCAGAACGACGAAGGAGTTCTGAAGATTATTAACAGAGGAAAAAAATTAATGTTATCCTAACTAATATTAAAATTTAAAACCTAATTTTATTGTGGCAATTGTATCAAGATTGAGAGGAAACCCTATCTCCCACTACTTTTTAGAGTAGAGTGCACTATTGGGATGATTTAGGTGGGCAGCTGTTCACCAAGGCACTAAAACCATGGCGTGTTAACTTTAATGTTTGTTTAATTAATTAATTTCAATTAATCAGTTAGTCTTGCAGAAAGGGGGGCTTGGTGGGGTAGGTACCTAAGTGCATTATGCAAAACGTGTTATACTTACATTGCTTACTAGAAAATATGACAAAACTATATCTATATTATAGTAAATCTCATGCTATCCTTGTGGTGCTATTATCTTAAGAACAAAAGCAATTTGTTTGAAACACATACACAGATAGGTTAGCGTCAATGTCGATTATATGTTAGGCGAAAGATACATTTCATATAGGATCACACACAAACATAGAGTGCTTTTCCTTGAGTTAGAACACAACATGTAACATGCATGCGTTCTGGCATTGGTGGTTGTAACGAAAGATAACGGTAAAATGTTGTCTTTAATGGTGCACAAACAGCGCTAGCCATTACATTGCGAAACTGACCACAAGGCGCATAAATTACAAGACTGCATCTTAAATACTGCATATGTGCACATGCACTTAGGAAAATAACAACAATCATAATAACACCTAATTACGGGTATGCAACAGGTAATAACAACAATCATAATAACACCTAATTACGGGTATGCAACAGGTAATAACAACAATCATAATAACACCTAATTACGGGTATGCACAGTTCGTCACATCTTCCCCTTTAAAGGAAAGCTAAAGTCATCACTCATAAGGATATTGTTCTTACTAAACGTCCGATTAAGACATGACATAGTCTTTGAAATAGCCAGGAGGGTTTCTCCGTCTTGTGGACCTTCTGATCTCCTGCTCTCCAGATGAGCCCGGTGCTGGCGTAGGTTCAGCTACGA